CTCCAGATATAGGGACAGATGTGTAGATATAAGATATATACCTAGGGCGGACCAAATCCTCAGCCAGAACAGACAGCCACGCTTCGGGAACCGTGGGAACAACCAACAGGTGTTGTCCAACACGTGGGCTACAGTGTGCCTTCTTAATGCTCTCCTTAGGTCTATTTATAGTGGTCTGTCCCACGGTAAGTGCGTTGTAATCGCCGCCAATCAGGGCGAATGAGGGCAATTTGTGAGCGTTAAAATTATTATTATAAAATATCGAATGTCATTTATAATTACATTTACGATTAATAGTTGATAAATAAGAAACATTTCAAATATATAGTGGATTAAAATCAAACTCTAGCGATTTTAAGTTTAATATTAAAATCAAAACTTTTGTTTTAACATAATCAATTCATATATGAATAATTTTTTTCATAATAAAAAATTTCAATTAATACAAAATAATTTGGACATATCAAACCCATAAGGTTCCTATCAATCAACAATTACCAAACTAAAACCATAATAAATTCATTTATTGCAAATATAAAATTACTTACAAGTTCCAGATTTGGACCACAATAAACTTTCTTACTGTAATCTTTAAATTCATTCAGAAAGACAGTTGTCTAACATCTAATGTTTCCGGGTAATCTGTGACGATTGAAACGGCGATAGCCCTGGTACTTTCTGATTTAAAATTGTAATTGCCATTTAGTATAGACAGAAGTGAATGCAATCAATTTTATGAAGTAGTAATAGTTTTTATCGAAACATTAAAATGGAGGGAAAAAATTAAGTATTGAAAATAATTAATAAAAAAATATGTACAATAGGCTGTATTTTTGCTAATAATGGTGCGATCTCAAGGATTTTTTTTTTCATACTGAAAACTTTCAAACTATTATGTAAATATATTAGAAATTTATATTACAAAAAGTTGCTAATTTCTTTGCCATATGCAATTCAAATTTTGATTGTCTGCATATTTTTTCCTACCGGAGGATATGATAATTGATATTACTAACTATATTAAAAATAAAATATATCAATCATAATACCTTAACATTAGTTTATAGCCTAAATAATATCAATAATTTTATTCAATGCCAGATACGTAAGCTAAAAGGATTCCAATCAGAAATTTTAAAATGAAAAACTGATCATCTGTTTTCTTATATTTTTTTATGAGTTTTGTAAAAACAATAAAATTTCTTTTTAATACTATCTGTGGAATCTTTTATCCCTCCCATTGATGCCATAGAAATAGATAATTGTTTGATGTTAACATTGTTTGTATTTTGGTATTTATGTACTAACACGAGGAATTTTTACTATTAAATAAATAACGATTTATAAAATTTACATATTACATTTTGAAATATATATATCTATAAAGTTCCGAAAGGTATGGTTGAGTAACTTCGAATTAGATACTTAATACTTTAGCTCGGACTCATCTAGTATCTTCCCCACCTCCACTGCCTTGGGAAGGCCTCAATCACTTATTTGAGTGAGCGTATTTAGCGGCCCTTAGCTGTAAGAATTTAAATACTTCCATGAGCATGATTGCCTAACTGGGTAACAGTTTGAAGGCCATATGTTTTATTTAGTAGGTAAAGTATCAAAAATAGTATTTTTTTTTTTATTTCATTCATTTTTCCTATTTTTAATGGATTATACTCCATTTAATACCTGATAATAGTGAATTTATGATAAAAATATATTTTCACATTACTGAAAGCATGGAGTATTGTTCAAATTAATCATTATCATAACTTATCAGGACTATGTTATACAAAAAAAAAATAATATTCCTTATAAATTTCCAATTTCAATGATATTATATATTTATTATTCTTCACTTTTACACAAGCTTCCAATTGTGCACGGGGCTGACCACCTATCCTTCTCGCTTCTTCCTTTCCGCTTCCCCAGTGGTCTCAAGTTAAAAAAACGTAATCCGTTGATGTTCCATTTTGGTGTCGTTGAATGCCAGGCAGAGATAAAATCAATCTGAATATATAAATGATAATCTAAAATAAAAGTTAAAAATCGTCAATTAAAAGGCAAATTAAAAATTATACCTTAATCGACTTCCTCCTAAACTGGAAAAGTAGCTTAAGTGAGGCAGTTATATAACGAAGTGTCATCCCTTGGAAATGATCTTGCGACACGAACAGGCCCGGTAAAACATCTGCCCTTTTGAATTTTTTTTCTCATTTATTCTCAGTTCTGAAGGTTTTTGACTCCGGGGATGGATTGTTCTTCGGGAACCTTTTGAGAAGCCGCACGTTATTGTCTTGAATACAGGAAGGATGTCCTTTGGCAATGTGCCAATAATGTCCTGTTTCGGCAAACAGGCAAGGTCGAGGTAATGGACAAAATAAGAAAGGAGTTGACGGCATTCACTGAAATATACTGAGCGCGGTTTTTATTTCATGTGTTTTGTTCATGTGTATAATTGTTCCGATCCTATTATTCTGAAATACGAAACCGTTTTTATGGAGCTAAAAGGTTTTTTTCCGATTTTCGATGGTGATAACTACTGTATTAGTTAATTTACTTCCTGTGATACCTAAGTTATGGGAAGAACAATGAATGGTTGAAAACAAATTTAAGAAATCTCGCTCTTTTTATTAGAATCAAACCTGTTTTGTTTCTTAGGTTATCAAAAGTTATTTGTAACTAAATTCGATCTAGTTCTAAGAAAATTTGTTTGCTTTACATATACCTGATTTGTATTAATTTTGGTGACCTTCTCTATAATTTAGGCTTAATTTTTAATCCGCCGAGTGATGTTATGATAGTTATTGCCCTGTCGTGTTTAACTTCTCAGTCATCTTAACTGGACTTCAAGATTTTGTCTAACAAACCTTGTTCCGTGGCTGTTCCATCAGACACCAATAGACCACCTGTGGATCTCCCCGACAGTCGGACCTCTCAATAGATGGTTACCGACAATAGCAATTGCCATCGTTGCATCCGGCAATCTTCGGCAACTGACCACTCTTTCCATATGTTGTGTGCTCAGCTATAAGTGTTACAATGACACAAACATCTCTTAGGATTTAAAATGAGATCTCCGAAAAGCCTAAGCAGCAGAACTATATTGGGCTAAAATATTTTCGCTGCATTCTTTTTTTTTTTGTTCCCTCCGATTCAGAACCCCGCAAAATTATGTTAACATCTCAAGATTCATAAACTTGTAAAAAAAATTGCTCCGTCAAAAATTAACAACTCCACAAAAATGTGTCTTCTAAAAAAAAAATTATGGCGTAACTTACGACGCCATGCAACCCTTTTCTGGACACTACAGTTTTCTGTGATTTATTATTTGTTTATTTTATACAGTGTTATAATTTTTCATTATATAACATTCTACTACGTTTTAAAAGTTAGTGAAACATGTTTAATTCATGTCTTAAGCCAGAATTAATCATAAATATTAAAAAAAAAAACAGAAATAACTATTTTAATTATATTAAAAAAGGAATATTTGAATGATTATTAGAAGACATGTATATATATATATATATATATATATATATATATATATATATTTATTTATTTATTTAGTTTTTATCATGAAACTACTGTTGCATCACAATCTCTGCAGTCACACATTTCAATTCAATTCAATGGTGTGAAAAATAGAGAATTAAAATTAATGCAAATAAATCCTAGCATTAGTTAAAACGAAATTATTAGTAATAACGAAACTAAGTTTTCTTGTAACCTAAATAAGAAAAAAAAAAAAAAGGGACTGCACTCAATAGAATCAACTTTATCAACATGAGAATCAAAAGAAATAGGTGATGAAATTTCTATGACCACGGCTGTATGTATATTCACACTTTATGAAAAAGAAAAATTTCTATTCATTTATATTTTTTCAACATAAAACATATTGTAGGGCCTTGTCAATTTCAGAACAGTAATATAAAATCCAAGTTGGTATGTGCAAAAATTCGCAGACAATTTTGTTTAATGAAGAAATACCAAAACAATATGGAAATAAGTAGTTCGTATGTATTATGTAAGGAAGGAATTAATATTTTATCCTTAGTCGATTACAATATTCCACTATATATAATAAACCAAAATATTTGTACAAATTGCTTTGCTAGGACCTATTTTTAAACGCTGACTGGAAAGATAATAAAAGTAATATAGACAAAATAATGCCCAGATCATGGGATATTCTAAATTATTAAAAAAAATAAAACGTAAGAACAACCAAATGTTTTTAAGAAATAACAGAGTTAATATATCAGCCAGGGGAAAAAATGTAGTAGATTATTCTATTCCTAAATGCAATATCTTTAAATCGGAAGACATTATTAAGTATACCAAAAGTAATAGACTGTATCTTTGTTAATAATTGTCCGATTTTTACAATTTTTTTGTTTCTTTTGTAGGTAATTTAGGTGAGAAAAAAATGCATACTTTTTGAGCTATTCGCAAATAAAGTTTCTTTTCCTCCATAATTTTTTTCCAGACATTTCAGGGGGATAGGACTATTTTTCGCCTGTGAAGGAGAAAAATATCTTCAAAATGAGTGGTCAATCATTGGATTTGATGAAAAATTGACGAAGTTATGGCGTACCGACAAAAAAACACCTTTTAGAAATAATATATAGGATTACTTTTGGTTATATTTAATGAATTATCATTCATCAGAAGGGAGTATTTTTAATATATCTTTATTATTAAAAAAATTAAACTAATATAATATAATTATTTAAATATCTGATACAACTTATTAATAATTTTTCCCCCATATTTTTACGATTTTATTCTATATGGATGTCAATCAACTATTATGAATTGTTGCAGAATGTTATGGCAGGTCAACATTTTAATTGAAACTGAACAGATTATTTTCTATAATAATAAATAAATAAATAGTTATTTAAATACCATGTTAATATTTAAATCTAAATAGATAACGGATTCAAAGCAGGTGGGGAGGGTGAGGAAGAGTTGAATACAGCCTAAAGGTGGGGCCGATGGGTGAATACATAAAGTATCAATTATGTAAGAAGTTTTGGGGCTACTATAAGAAAGGAGGTAGAAAAGGAGAGAGAGAGAGAGAGAGAGCGCGTGCTGGCGGGCGGGCCACGTGTGGGAATGTTCCCGTTCCCACGGTAGTGGCCCACCTGGCAGTGCGCACGTCTTGTGCATTGTGCCCGCTCTAATGCTGTCATTTAGTGGTGTCTACACCTGGGCGTCTTCGCTACGTCATTATACTCTAGCTATTGTCTTAGCTATAGTATAGGCTGCGGTGCATGTCGCCTATCGATTGCCGAGGTAATGAACATGATTGAGGGGGAAAAAAGTATTAAAAAATCTAACCCCGATCACAGATAGAGAACTTGACATTATCATGACATGAGTTAAATTCTACATAAATACACTTTTAAAACCATCTAAGAAACTTACACCCTTCACTTTCTGAACTCTTTAATCGAATCCTTTATTTCCAAAGTGAATCTTAATTATCTCTGATTTTTTCTTACTAAACGCGAAAAACTACTGAGAAGTTGATCGGGGGGGGGGGGGGGGTGCTGTCAATATACAGTCTCCCGTAAGTTGAGCGAAACATTTAAGAAACTGATAATAGACATCAAGATCTAAAAGTTAATATAAACAACTGCCCAATTTCCAGCAGTAAATCAGAAAATTTAAGATTTCTATACCAGACTGAAACGACAAGAAACAGCTCGACGATTCCGATTACTTCAGCACTTACTAGACAAACGCTCTAAACTTCCAATTAATTACAAAAGACATGACTATAATAAGGTCTATTTGGACTTACCGAGTTGAGCTAAAGGGCTCCACTTAACCATCGAATTCCTCTCCTATCCAAAATCCTTCGTAAAATCCTCAATGCTCCACACTTTCTTACAAATAAAACCATCCATAATTAATGTTTCTTTTGTTTCAGATCTGGCCCAATCCAGATACCTATCCTTCCATAATAAACTTCAGAATCCTCCCAACCCTTTCGTTTCTAACCTTGCTTCCTCTTCAATTCCTGAAAACCCAGTCTGAAAAGAAGATGGCTCCGTGATCTCCTAATGTAGACATATCATTAGAGTGCTACCATTGGGTAGTTACTCAGCAAGTGTTTTCATGTCATTATATCCATATATTCAAATTTACTAGATGTATTTATATAATACAATTGTAAATATCATTAAGAAATAATAAAAAATAAAAAAAGATTTGTGTTTTTTAAGCGTGCCACGTTTTTTGTTGAATAGGAAACATAAACTTAAAAATATTGATTAAAGTAATTAAACATTGCTCCATAATTAACAATACAAAATTTATTTTAATAGGAAGTAGAGTTTTTCATTGTTAAAACTATTTAAAGAGGACTATGAGCGGACAAATACAGCGAAGTTCTGTTTAAAAAAAAATTCATCAAATATTTGTGATTTTTTTTTTATCAACCTTCAACTGTACTAAGTTCATCCCACGTTTAGAAAAACTTCCCCGTTTGATAAGCTTTAATTCAATATCAGTTAAATATAGGTTTATTAGGAATTTTTATGAGATTTATTTCAAGTTGTGTATAGAAATCTATTTAGTCACCTGAAAACACCTGTGTTTTCAGCAAAAATGACAATAGTTAACTGTTACAAAGCTTTTATTTCCGTGATAGGGAATGTATTGTAATAAACTTAAGTACCTAAAAACGATTTTTGTTTAAAATTAAAAATGATGATTTTAAAATTTTTAAACTAATTACGAAATTGTTTTTTTCTCCTAGATCTTCATCTACTTACGGGACTACCTGTATAACACTATATATTACGATAGTACTTTATTGTGTTTGTTAACGTTTCGATTTACGCTGTAGCTCTTCATCACGCCCATAAAAAAAAAGATACTAACTATAAATATTAAAACTTCAATAAAAAAAGACGTTGTATTGCTGCGCAGAAAGAAAAACAATAAAAAGATATACAGGAAGACGTCATTTATATTGAATTTAAATTTCAATCCTGTGACATCAAGCCTCAATTAAGGAATTATAAATATTAATTCGTAGAAGGTTAAAAATAAAAAAATTGTCAGTTGTTATTAAACAAGTACAGGTTACCAGATGAAGATTTGAAGAACTTATATAACATAAGTGTTGAAGTGAATTAAGGTGAATAACTATATTTTTTATTTCAAGTGTACTATCAATAATAATTTGTTTTTTAATAAATAAAAAATATTTATTTCTAGCACATATTTACGAAAATCACTTGACTATATTAATAGTAATTTAAAAACATTAAAACTTGAATATGGCCGCTTTTGGAATGAATTAAACTTTCGTTTATAAACGAAAAAAGGTTCGGTTTAGAGAGAAAAATGGTGTATGGTCCGGGGGAAAAGTTATAAAAATTGTACTATAAAACACAATTTTAGTTCATTATGAAAATGCAATCAAATTAGTTTATTTTTAATTTGAATTTGAATCAAACGGTTAAAAAGACGTTCGATAAATAATTTTTTTAATAATACTTAAAAAAACATAGTTCCATTGGATTACTTGAAAAAAAGGTGGTTCTAAAATAAAGATATTTTCAATCAACTTTTTTTATATATTTAGATTCGTTATAAAAAATAATAATTGCACATTTCGTATTTTTACTTATAAATCGATAATTACTCGTTTCTTCAATAAAAAATCGATTAAGGTTCACTTTGGATATAAGCGACTCAATTATACTAGTACCTCATAGGGCGGAACTAGAATTTTCGCTAGTGTGTTTAATTCTGTCACTTCTTCAAAAATATTTATCTTTCTTTTTTTAAACATAATTTTACGAAATGTATTTTAAAATAAATATTATTATAACATACTCTGTACCCGGTACAGATCACTTTTCATCAAATTATTAACATCCGTCTCTAACATCGTGATGGGCTTAATCTTAATCATAACTAACAACTTTTTTATCTAAGAAAATTCTCAGAAATGTAGCGGTCTTTCATTGAATTAATTGGTTTAGTGAAGTATTATATAGTCTAGCGATCTCCTGATTAAAATTGCTTAATTTCAGAGAATTTTCGTTAGTTTAAAAAAAAATTTTATACGAAACTTATGTAAAGTGGACTATCATAATATAATGTTCATGGATTTTCGAGTCAGTGGCAGGTAATTATTCATTCAGTTACATTACCTATAGATTGAACTTCAAATAGGAAAACTCTTCTGGGGTAAACCCAGCCTTCTTAATGTTAGTTCTTTTAATTAATTATTAATTGGGAGAGAAAACCTGGCCGTTGAGGATGTTCTTAGTCAAATCAGCTTGCACAGAAGGTTATCTACCTATGATAAAGTGTTATTGTGCTTCTCAGTGTTTTGTATTTTTCAAGTTTGTTTTGTTAGTTTTGTTGTATCGTTTCCTACTGTTTGTGTTATTTTAGTGTTTTATAGTTTTTTGAACATGATTTAGTTTTAGTTTATGTTTATTTAGTTAATTTTATAAACTTTTTGAGTGAACAGTGGAGGTTAAGGTTAACTTTGTGGTTTTCACGAAGGTTTAATCTAACCAAAAGGACGTTTAGAGACTATTACGTTGGTGAAGCACTAAGGTAAGTTCATATTAAAGTCTTACTTTTGAAGATAGGAAATTTATAAGTTTCTCGAACGTAGGTTAGATTTTGAGTGTTGAATATTTCCTTCTACTGTTGTTCACCCATTATTTCAACGTATAAAGTTGTTAATTTTGGATTGCGTAAGATGGCTGATGAAATTGCATCAGCAATGGAGCAGGAAATGGTGGAAGAACAGGCTATAAAGTGCCCAAGGCCTTCAGCAAAGAGGCAAAGGAAAGGATCTCCTGACGCCCGAGAAGAAACAGATAAAGAACGTGTAGACGATAGTCTTCTGCAAGATGCACGTAGAATCAAAGAAAACATCAGGGTCTACATGAACGCAACAGACAGGAACGTGAGTGCGAAGGTACAAAAGCACGTTAATGGGAAAATTCAGCAGTTAATAGATATAATGGAGACAATATATGATAAGAACTATGAAAAAACGTTTTTAGTACAACGTGTGGTAAAGGACACATTAGCTTCCTCTGAAATGTATGATATCATAGTAAATGCATTAGTGGAAAAAGCAGTACCTATGGTTATCGAGGGACTCAAGTCGGAAAGTAAAACCATACAAAGACCACTGTCAGAACCTCAGACATCTCGGGAGTTTCCATGCGTTAAAGAACAACCGCTATTAGCCGATGCCCACGCTATTATTGAGACCACGGAGAATGAAAGTTTCCAGGAAGTAAAGAAAAAGCAAAGAAGGAAAAAGGCTCTTCCACAAGTGGCCAAAGAGATCGAGGCCTCTAAACCAATAGCAGAGGAAAGTTTGACCAAGAAAAGGTCTACACATCAGACTACGATGGCCGATATTGTTAAAGGGCTTCCATTAAAACCGATGGATACTACAAGACCAACTTATGTTACCATCGCTTCTCAAGGTAAAAGTGCAGCTGACATCATCAACAATCTGCCTTCTCCAACTGAACTAGGAGTCAAGGCGAGAGTTGTACGGGCGACCAAAGCTGGCTCAGTTTTAGTTTGTGTAGATGAGGGTGCCCATGCGAAAAAAATAATTGAATGGCAAAAATTAAAAGAAGTTGGGATGGAGGCAAAACTAGCCTTAAAAAGAAAACCAAAAGTGGAGGTAAAAGGAGTTCCCCTTTCATGGAGTGCGGAAAATCTAGAAAGGGTGCTATGGGAAAGGTTGGCTGCAAAATCGGCCGTTATTTCTGAGAACCAATTAGGTAATATAAAGCCATTGTTCTCATCAATGGCTAGAAATAAAATTACCAATAATTGGGTGTTAGAAGTACATCCAATGGTAAGATATAATCTACTCAAGGAGGAAATAATTACAGGAGGTTGGTGGTCACTGACAATCTTAGATTACCCCGATGCTCCTCCCTGTCTAAGGTGTCAGGGATATGGACATACAAAAGCTACTTGTGAGGCAAATGGCATAGTATGCAAGTGGTGTGCGGCGAGTGGGCATATTGCTAAAAACTGTCCCGCAAAAGGAAATAAGACCGCACCTACATGCGTTAACTGCGTGAGGGAAGGTGTTCAAAAAAGTAAGGCTAAACACCAGGCAGGAAGTAGAGAATGCCCAGTGCACATCAAGAGATCTCAAGAATTAGTGAGGAGAACTCACTATGATTAGACTCAACATCCTGCAGTTGAATATGGGCCGCCGGCATATTGTGGCTGACGAGCTTCGCGCCATGGCACAACGCTACGATATCATGGCGGTCCAGGAACCTAGCTGCCG